TCTTGTTCAAAGCATAGGCACATACAGAAATGAGGCACGTGTTGAAGACTAAGTTTGAACAGTTATCAACGATATAAGATTTTAGAAGCAGTGCTTCAACGTGATCATGCATAGATGTTGAATTTAAATTCTCGAAAAATTGAAAAAGAGGTGAATGGAACTTACAATAAGGCATTCAAGTCCCTAAAGGTTGCTTTTCGGGAGATTGAATAGAAGAGAAGTTTAGTTTGGGTATCGAATCCCACAAGACAGGCCGTCAACACCAAGAACACAATCGCAAGAACCCTTAAAAAACCCTCCTTTCTCCCAATTAAACCCATTTTGAACAGCAAATCTCGATGAAACGAGTGTTCAGTGTGTTGTAAGGAAACTCGACTCAAATCTCTCAAGAGAGAAAGTGGACACAGAAAGAAGAGATGGACAGAGGGGAGGACCGGGTGCATTAATTGACTCAATTTAAAAGTTTCCTAACTCCTAAACTATTCATTATTGAATTTATGGTCCAATGCATTTGGCTTGTAGTGTGAACTTCCAACTGATTTCTACTCAGCTACTCTTATAAATAAAAGTCTATGCCGTACGATGGTTGTGTTCAAGGTAAAAGGTTAAACCGAAACTTTTGCAATGGTAGAGTTTTTGGTTTCGACAATTTTTAAAAGGTTTACAAATGGGGTTTGAAGCAAATGAATTTGAGAACTTGTAATCAACATTTTTGGATTAGTTGAATATTTATTAATTTGTAAATCATTTCTTTAAGATTGCATCTATAACTCTTTATTAAATTATGTTACTATAAACATGAAATTTTAGTTTCTTTTTATACAATGTTTTTGTACCACACACTTTGTGTCCTACATTTTTTATACATACTACGTAGAGTTTCCTCATGTCATGTTATGTGTTCCATTTTGCGTAAAATCTTGATTGTACATCAACGACCAAATCCTGATGTCTTTTGAGTGTAGGAAAGAAGTACTTATTGTGTGAAAACATGACAATTAATGGTGCTGGTTTAAATTTTTCTTCTTCCATATGCAAACGAGTACGAGTTTGTCAAGTTGTATATAATTGATTGA